AATAGGATTTATATTAACTGAAGAATGAATACAATAATGTTGGGCTAAGAAGCCCAATGACCTACCTAATAAGACCATGAAGAGCACATCAAGTGTCCTAAAATACACTAGAAGAACCAGAAGATTTCTTTCACTTGACTAATGATCATCCATACACCTTAAGGAAGAATTCCTTCTAGCTACAATAAAAAAAGACTTAACCACTGATCACAGATCCTAGTTTAGTACCCTACTAACAAAAGCAAGAACTTCAAAATGAACAACAGTTAATAACAAAAGCATATGTACATCATAGAAAATCAACAGTTCCCAACTTGTCAGCCATGGAGAATTCTAACCATTCCTCTAAGGCAATGTTAACCACTGCAAACTCCGACCTCCATATTCTTTGGAACACTCACTGATTCCTAGCTTTACAGATCCACAAAAGTAAGTAGGCTGTGAATTGTAGTCTAGCTTCATTGTCTTTTGATGAAGGGAGTGAGCTGAGCTTGGACCACCGGTGGAGAAAGCTATCTGTCAGGTGTGTAATTCCATCCCATGTTAATAGAGCCAATTCACAGTTCCTCTTTGCTTTGGCACAAGTGAAGAACAAATGAGTGATAGTTTCAGGTTCCTCTCTTCATAGACTACACCTGACATCAATATCCACTCCTTTCTTGATTAGGCTGGTAGCAATAGGAAGTGTGTTGTTCAGACACCTCCATAAGAAGTGCTTGATTTTCCCTTTAATGTTCATCTTCCATAGTCTTCTTCTGGTGTGCTTCATTTCTGCCTGTCCTTTGTTGGATTCTGCAATGTCTAGCATTTTCCATTTTTCTTTTATCAGGTAATCATAAGAGGCTGCAACAGAGTGATTACCATTTTTCCCACCATGCCAGATTAATCTGTCCTCTTCCTGTGGATTGAGATCCTTGATTTTCAAAATGGCTGTTTTCTCCTCTTTTGTGAAGAAGTTATGCAATAATCCATGTTCCAGCTTCTACCAATCTCATCTAGAAGGTCTTGCACTTTTTTTAACTTAAGAGGGGCTTCTTACTGGCTTGAAATCTGGCAACTCTGGAATCTAAGGATGTTCAAAGATATCAATTTTGTTCCCTTTCTTAGCTTCATATTTAAGAACCATTGGGAATGAGTCTCTGACCTTGAGTCAGCTATGCCAGAGCCAAGAGCCTGTTTGCTTGTGTTTGACTGAGAAGAAGTTATTGTGAGGAAAGTACTTTGCTTTTAAACACTTGCTGACCAGCAGATTCCGTCTTGTGAGTATTCTTCATAGCTGCTTATTGATAAGTGCCTTATTCATCAACTGTATGTCATGAAACCCAATATCCCCTTTGTCTTTTGGTAATGCCAGCAATGTCCAAGCTTTCCAGTGCATCTTGTTACCATTTTTATTTCCTGAATTCCACCAAAAAGAGGCAAACAATTTTACAATATTTGCACAGACTTTTTTAGGGATTAGAAAACAAGACATGGTGTAAATAGGTAAGGCATTCAGAATAACTTTTAAGAGGGTTTCTTTCCCTGCTACTGACAAAAATCTGTTTTTCCAATTCGAAATTTTCTTTTCAATGGCAAGGGAAATGAAGGAGAAGGTATCCATTTTATTACTGTCAATACCCAAAGGTAATCCAAGATATCTAGTGGAGTTCTGAGGGGTTATGCCCATGAGGATGTTACAAATGGAAGATTGGACTGAGCTTTGGGTATTTCTGCTAAAGAAAACTGAAGACTTAGTCAAGTTAACCCTTTGCCCAGTGATTTGATTATAAATGCCCAAAATAGAAAGAATGGTATAAGCTTGAGATGGCTCTGCTCTAGAAAACAACAGTGTGTCATCAGCAAAGAATAAGTGTGAAAGAACAGGCCCATTTTTAGATATCTTATCCCATGAAGATGACCTTTCTGAAATTCCTGCTTTATAAGATAGGAAAAATTTTCTGAGACAAGGATAAAGACATAGGGTGACAGAGGATTCCCTTGTCTTATCCCTCTAGAAGGAGTGACAAAACCAGAAACTTCTCCATTAACATTAAAGGAAAAAGAAGCAGATGAAAGACAGACAAGAATCCAGTTCACAAATATAGAGCTAAATCCAAGCTTAAGCAAAATCAGACTCACACTATCCCATTCAACTCTGTCAAATGCTTTTTCCATATCAAGTTTAAGAGCCATGTAGTGCTTATTACCTGACCTATGCCTGTTAAGGTAATGAATAACTTCCTGCCCAAGAATGAAATTATCAAGAATTTGTCTATTAGGTACAAAGGCTGTCTGGTTCTCACTTATGCAAGAGGATAAGCATGGTTTCAGTTTGCTAGAAGTTTAGAAATGATCTTTTATAAGACAATGCAAAGGCTTATATGCCTAAAATGAGAAACAAGGCAAGGGTTCTGAATTTTGGGAATGAGGGTAACAAGGGTGTGATTTATACTCTTGAGCAATCTACCAGAATAAAAAAAAACTCAAAAAAAAAAAAAAAAAAAAAAAAGTCTTAACCACATCACATAATTCTTCTTTTAACAGGTTCCAACAGTTTTGAAAAAAGAGAGAAGTCATACCATCTATGCCTGGAGCTTTGTTTGGATTGATGTTGAACAAGGCTTCTTTGATTTCTTCATCTCTAACAGGTGCTTCAAGTTCAGAGTTCATTTCTTCGGTGATGACAGCTGGCATGTCTTGTAATACTCTTTCTTCCTCTTGTGATCCATTTGAGGAAAAGAGTTTTTGATAGAAAGTCTGAGATACATTTTTCAATCTGCTCCTTATTCTCACAGTTGGCTCCATTTTCAATCTTTAATCTCACAATGTTGTTCCTCTTCCTTCTTTAGACTGTTTGAGCATGGAAGTATTTGGTGTTATTGTCTCCATGTTTGAGCTAGGTAAGCCTTGCTTTTTGCTCCCAATGCTACTCCTCTTGCTTGTATGCTTCATTAAGTTGCCTTTTAGTCTCATCCCATTTCCTCCAGTCTATCAGTTGCCCTCCCTTTCTCATTTCAGAGAGCTCATTGTGCAGCCTTGAAATCAATTTAGCATTTTCAGTTCTGAAGCTACTACTTCACTTCAATAACTCAATTATTGTCTCTTTAACTCTTTGTTGAAAAATGTACATGGGAGTTCACAATTGCTGCTTTCTCTAGCCTTTTTCCACTGCTTCTTTGAATCCTGGTTTAGTGAGCCATCTCCTGTCAAACAGGAATCTCTTCTTCTTGTACACATTTCCTTGGCTATAATCTAGCAGTAGTAAACTGTGGTCATAAGAGCTTTTGAAGATGTTGTGAACTAAAGCATTCATATAAGTTGAGGACCATGCCAAAGATCCAAAAAGTCTGTCTATTTTTTCTTCTACAAAGCCCTCTGCTTCTCTATTATTTCCCCATGTGTAGGGGTGACCCACCATTTGAATTTCAGACATGCCCATGTTGCTTATGAAGTCCCTAAAAGGTATGCAAGAAGTATGGGTTCTCATCCTTCTCCCTTTTTTGTTTTCTGGGCATGTGATGTCATTGAGATCCCCTCCTAAGAGCCAGAAGTCACCCCATTTGTTTTTCTCTTCTACCAGTTGGGCCCATTGATTTTGTCTGGTTTGGTTGTTTGTACTAGCATAGATGAAAATTCCCCAGCAGGTACATGATTTGGCTTCATCCCAGAATTCTACTTCAATGCAAAAGTTATGTTTGATGATAGCAAAGACTTGTATTTCCACATTCCAACAAAGCAGCAGTCCCCCCACTCTTGCCTATTGGCTCCACAGATGCCCGACAATCTGCAATGGCTAAGTTTCTACATACAGTTTGAATAAAATTATTCTTCTTTTGTATTTCACTAAGAAAAAGAAAACTTGGGTGATGGAGCCTCCATATCTCCTTGATTTGGGAAACTATAGAGGGGTCACCCACACCTCTACAGTTCCACACCGCTACCTTCATTGATCGTCGTGTGGCCCTATTAGATTGGCCACTTTCACCTCAGATTGGTTGGTCTTTTGCTTCTTATTGCTTGATTCTGGTTGCACTTCTGTATCATTAGTATCAGATTCCTCTATGGTTGTCAGACAAAGGTTATCCCTTTTGGTCCTAGTGATTTCAGATGTATTTGGAGAGCTGGAGGTTTTAGAAGGTGTTGCTTTCCTCTTCCAGGTTCTTCCCTTGGCAGTGGTTTTTCTCTCTGGTGGAATACTGGGTTGTGTTGATGTTTGATCTTCAGGCTGGGTTAAGGATAATTGTGTGACTTGGCAGGGATTTGAGTCTGTGTCCATGTCTGAAGCTGGTAAAGGGCTGTTGGATATGGGTTTATTAGGCTTGAGAATAGTTAGGGGTAGAGGACTTATAGGGATAAGAGAATTAGATGCGGAAGGTTTATCTGTTCGGGATTGCTGCTGTGTAAGTTTACTGAATGTAGGTTGAGAGTATTGAGGGTGTGTGGATTGAGAGGTGGAGTTAGATTGGGGTTGGGTTAAATTGTGTGGTTCTGTTTGGTTTTCTGATGAGGGTTTGTTGCTGGTGTTACTTAAAGTTGGAGCTTCTCCAAAGGTGCCATGGTGAGCTAGAGACCAAGGGTATCCAATTTCCACCGCTCTGAGCCATTCCCCATACATTCTTTCCTTAACGTTATTCTGCTAAAATCCCTCAGCTCTTTTGTTACAGTTCTTATCAATATGGCCAAGCACCCCACAATAGTAGCAGAGACTTACCAGCTTTTCATATTTGAATTGCACAAGAGTTTTCTTTGATCCTAGCTGGATATGAGCACATCTGGGTAGGGGTTGACTGATATCAACGGACACCAGCATTCTCAAGCATTTGCCTGCAAGAAAACCTATTTGTGGCACTAGGACATCTTTGGTTTTCAGAAAGACTTTTCCCAGTTTGATTCCAACTTCAGTCGACATCCAATGTAAGGGAATATTCCAAGCCTGAACCCAAATATCCAGTTGTTGGAAGTCTTGGTGATCCGGGTGGATATCCTCTCTCCAGTCTTTTAAAACCAGGAATTGGTTTTCGAATATCCAGCATATGCCTTTACTGACTTTGTCTTTATACTCTTCATTTGCAAAAATGAATTGGAAGAAATTCGTACTAAAAGCTCTTTAACTGTGACTGAAGCTCGTATTTGCCACATTTGAGTAACTGCTCGTCGGAGCCCTATTAGGCCTACTTTTTTTTGCCCAATAACTTTTCCCACTAAGCTTCGCGAACAATTTTACGCACTTGTATGTATGTCTGAAGTTTCAAGGCCGATAACATTCGCCTCATTTTGTGATAATTAGACTGCTCTCAGCTTTTGGATTATATCTGATTCCATGAACTCTGAATTGTTTGGCACGCTGATTCGAGAATCTGAAATCAAACAAGAAAGACCCAGGAAAAAGAAGGGGGTATAGAGAGAGGTAAATAAGAAAAAGAAAAAGGAGAGAAAAAACCAAGACAAACCCTGGAACAGACACTAAATCCCCAAACACTAATGGCTCTTGCAATAAATGACAGAGTGACTAAGATAATGTGAATCTAACCTGTAAATGTAGGATTAAGCCCCAATAATGTGGAAGATTAAAGCAAGAAGCTAGATGAAACTCGCCAATGGAGATTGAGCTCTCACGAGAGAGAATAATGTATTATTTTCTTTTTCAAAGGTTGTATTTATTGTTTTTCTTTTTTTTTTCCAACTGCAGTTACACATGGCCAAATTCCGACCGGGCCCGTTGCCGGATTCAAAACACCGACCCTGAACCGATCCATACCTAGGTACGAGCCGGATGACGGAAGGTCTGGGCCCGACCCGAGTCCGAAGCCCATCCTAAAAAAAATGAAAAAAATAAAATCTACTGTTTACCATTCTGGTCATACGTTACATACATTTAAATGCGAGTTTAAATTTATTTTTTATTTTGTTCTTATATTTTTTAAATGGTTATTTAATATTTTGTAATAAAGATTCTTTAAACTATTTTAGAATACAATTAATTTAAACTATATGGTGTTAAAGAGAGTTTGAAACTTTGGGTATTATATGTTCACTAGTTAAACACTCGTATATTACACCATAACTCAAAATGTCAAATGAGGCAGTGGTAACTGGTAATAAAACCTAAGCACTTGTTTGCTTTTCAGGATGGGATTGGATTAATTTAGTCCAATGGGGAAGGATTGTACTGTTGGAATTGGACTAATCCTGTGTTTGTTATATATGATAAGGCCATAAGGGGGTAGGATAACTTTAAATTAAAAAAAAAAATGTGTAGGTGGTGTAAAATACTGTTTTACCCCTTTCAAATAAATCAAAAACAGTTCAAAAATTATTAAAATGGGGGTAATATAGAAATTTACTACAACATGATAGGAATAATCCCACCTATTTCCTGGGATTAGTTTATCCCATGTATGAAGGATTAAACCATTTTTATACCGGGCCAATGGGATTCCTGCGGGCTTTAGTCCCATGAACCAAATGCAGGATTAGGTCTGGATTAAGCGGGATATCCTGCTTAATCCCACCAAGCAAACATGCACTAAGGGTTTCTAGACCCTTCCGTTTATTGGGAATTTTTTAGTTGGGGTCGAATGTTTTGGTTTAAGTGGTCAATTATTTCCGATGAAAATCAAGTATTTCGGACCCAAGTTTAGTTCCCGTCAATAATTTAATTTACACACAATAATAAACACGTAACAATTTTCGACAGCTCTTTAATTTTGGCCCACATTTTTTATTTAAAGTTTGGGTTGAAATATTAGTACGTGCAAAATATTAATGACCCAATTATTGTTTCATAATATTTAACAATCTTTTTTTATTTTTTATTTGAAAGTATGTTATTATGTTCACAAATTTTGATTTTTAAATTATGATTTTATATAATTTTATGTATTTAAGCATACACCATTCTTAATTTTTCTGAACTTTTGAAAACTTTAAATTTGACATTATTAAATAGATAGTTGTTGTATATTATCTTTTTAAAAATAATTAATAGTGCACAATTTAACAACTTTACAAGATTTTAAATTTTCTGAAACATTTATCACTTCATGGGGTTGTGCAACGGTACTGTTGATCAAAATTCGATCTATCATCTATATTTTCTTGGATTTTTGTATAAATTCGAGCAATATGTTTTTGTTGTCCTACTTTTGAGGTCACAGGTACACGATTGGTTATTACTAAGCTCAGTAGTCATGTCATTGAATGTAGAATTTTAACCGGTGCCAGAATTGGTGATAATGTTCTTATTAGGCTCACAATTATACCACTCGATTTTAGGGTACCTTTCAAGTTTCAATGCAGACACTTCCCGCTCATTCCTATGCTATGACAATCAATAAGAGTCAAGAGCAGTCTTTGTCGCACGTCGCCCTACTACTTAAGAGCCCCGTATTTAGTCCTGGGCAATTGTACATGGCGCTTTCCAGAGTCAAGAATTGAATGAGTTTGAGGATAATGATTTGTGGTGATGGAAATTGTCACGATAGAAAAACCACAAACCAATATAAAGAAATGTGTAATAATATTTAGATTTTTTTCTTAAAACTTTTTTTTCCATGGTTATTATATGATGTTTATAATTTTTTTTTATTATTTTTTCTCTATTATATAATTTTTCGTGCAAATGCACAGGTCAAAAACTACTTCCTTTATAAAGTAGCTTATACTTTTACCAAACAATTTCGTACTAACTTTGGGCTACCATTAGTGTGATTTGGGTAGTCCATTAGAAAAGGCCCATTAAACGCAATGGCCGGCCCCTTTCAACGGACTCTCAATCTCAGTCAAAAAAACCCTAGGTTTAAATATTCTCTCCACAAAGCAGCAAAACGTCCCTCGAGCAGAAAGAAAGACATCACCCGGCCACTACTGAGCTGAGCAGCTCCAGAAAAGGCGCCGGCGCGACTCTGCTCGAACACAACGTAATTCAATTACGACATTCTATCTCACCTTCCTAGATTTTAACGTAGTTTTTATATATGAAATTGATTCGAATCTCGCCGTCGATTGTGTTTTCAGGAAAATGGCGGACAAGGCAGTGACTATCAGGACGAGGAAGTTCATGACAAATCGCCTCCTATCCAGAAAGCAATTTGTATGCGTTCTTCCTTTTCCTGTGATTTGCTTTTTCGCGACGGCTGTTTACCGACTAGTATTTTTTCCCCGTTTTTGTAGGTTATTGATGTGTTGCACCCAGGAAGAGCTAACGTTTCTAAGGTCTGATCGCATTTGACCATATAATTTATCTTTATGCGCATTTTCTCTTCAATTTCGTGTTGTAGTATATGAATAGAATGAGGACTTGTTGGGGATTGTGAAAATATTAGGATATATTTTCTAGTTGAGAAAAATATTGGGGTTCTTTTTTTTGCATCCTTTTCTCATTTGCAACTGCTGAAAATTTATTGAAGGCTGAGCTGAAGGAGAAATTAGCTAGGTTGTACGAGGTTAAGGACTCGAATGCCATATTTGTGTTCAAGTTCAGGACTCACTTTGGTGGTGGCAAATCTACTGGGTTTGGCCTGATCTATGACACTGTGGAGAGTGCGAAGAAGTTCGAGCCGAAGTACAGGCTAATCAGGGTAATTAGTTTGCTATTTTTAGCTGTATATGTTTACATTAATCTCTTGTTTGTTCGGTTAGCTCTTTCCGTTGCTTATCTTCAAACCGAGTTGCTAAACTATGAATCAAGTTTGTTGTCCCAAGTAGTGTATCTTATCAGTTAGCATCTGAGTCTTCTGTCACTTATGAGCTCAATTTTGAGTTGCAAACTCTATCATTCAGTTAATCTTTGGCCCTGTGGAGTTATGATTTTTATCGTGTTAGCTGACTATTGTTTGTGGTGAGTCATTGGGGTGGTGATAACTCAAAATACTTGGTGTGTTTATGTTGCTTTTTTGTTGATCAGTTTTACATTTCTTAGTCCCTGCTTTTGCTGAAAAATGGTATAAAGTTTTTGATAGTCGGTCTATGAACCCTATGCTCTATTAATTTTCATGATAACTGTAATTCGAAATATGGAAAATCTAGATAAAATGATGCCAGATTTTTTTCTCCTATGGCTTGATAATACTATTATTATTATATAGTTTATTTGATTAGACATGGTACTTTGGTTTCAGAATGGTCTTGATACCAAGGTTGAGAAGTCCCGAAAACAGATGAAGGAAAGAAAGAACCGAGCCAAAAAAATCCGTGGTGTTAAGAAGGTATCAAGTGTTTTTCAATTTATATTATATTGCAAGGCTCGGTTTTCTTATAAGCGTCTTACAGAATTTTCGATAGATACTACAATGGTTGCTCTCTAATCGTGTTTTTTACTTCTGAACAGACTAAAGCTGGTGACGCTGGTAAGAAGAAATGAGCTCTCAATAGGATATGGTGTATTTTCGTTTTCATTTTTTTTTTCCCATTGTCGAAGATCATTAATGTGTTACCCTATCTTTAATGTTGGTTAATGAAAGACCTTTCTTAGACATTGTGCTGCATACAGTTTTTCCGTTTTGGACCTTTTTGGTTATAATGGGGACCTGTTCAGTTTTGTTGTTGATCACATTTACCTTTTGGGGTGAAAATTTGGTCCTTGTATTGTTGTGTTTTCAGGGTCGTTTCTAGTTTTGAAGATAATAAAGATTCTAAGTAAATGTAAGAAGTACACCTAGCCTATAAAAAAGTATTTCACAATGCAACTAAAAGTAGATCTAGTCTAGCTTATGTGGCAATAAAAAAAAGAGACCAAGTCAACTCTTGGGTCTATTTTGGACCTAAGTGTAAACCTTACAATAACAATCATTTACTATTATTATATTTTTATTGGGTGTTACGTATTCTAGATCTAGATCTTTTTTTTTTTTTTTTTGCATTTTGCATTGGATAGATTTTGGATTTTTTAGTTTATGTTTGTCCATGTCATTATAGACCTAAGTCTATTTATTTGTCACATATGTAAAAAGAGACTCGAAGCATTGTGGGTGCTTTAAGGTGGTGCTTGGATATCCCCTCTATATATAATTTCAGAATGCGCTGAGCCTACGTGACAATTTCTCATGTTTCGGAATTGTATTTGACAAAAAATGATGCTTTGGAGTTAGACTTGGATATAAATTAATATTTGTATTAATTGTATTTTAATATCGTTTCCTATTATAACCAATGGATTGTAAATATATTCTAAAAGTTTATAACTTTTGTATTTCTTATCAGTTTTACATATATAATATATAAAATTAATTATCTTTTGATAAGCTTCGATTTGACATCCATATTGTATATATAAAATAAATATATTATATTTATTTTTATAATGATAACAAAATTATTTATTAAAAATAATTAGAAAATAAAATTATTTATTAATTAATATATTTATGTTTTATGTAGTTATATGTTATAAGGTAGAAAATTTATTATAATATAACACATAAGTCGCACTAGTAACATGTGTAATACTAAAATCTATATCTATACTTATATTAAATGGGGTACTATTTACTAAATGTAGTATGTAGAATAGTCAACCCTAATTAATGATTTGTTATTTTTATCAATCATTTAATTAATGCATCTAATATTTTTGGTATGCAAATCAAATTAGCATTTAATTAGTTCCTAAAATATTGGGTATGCAATATTAATTTAGGAATATCTATGTAGTTCCTAAAATGTAGGTATGCAATACGTAAATGAAGATTTTTTATTTTTTTTAAATATAAAATATTGCAACACTTACAACTATTCCAGTTATTTTTTTATTTTATTTTACATATAAAATTTAATCAATATTTAATGCATCTGGATTTAGTTTAATTCTCCATACAATTGGTTGTAACTTTTTCAGTTGTACTTTTTTTATTTATTTATTTTACACTTTTAAATTAATGAAGCTTTCTAAAAATACCAAATCAAATGATTTATGAAAAATTTTTTTTTTTACAATTTTGAATCTATATACTCAGCTTAAAAAACTCATCGCATGGACGAGTTTAAGAAAATTTCATAACCCAGCTTATAAAATTCCATCTCGACGAGTAAAAAAAATCACATCCCTCATCTATCGTAACAACTTTAAACGTAAATAAATAAAAGTCTAATTACTACTATAAATCCATTATCTATATAGATTTTTTAAAAATGTAAATTTCACCTGTCTCATTACTAATATTTTAGATACTTTTAAATATTATTTGTATAATTTTTTTTTACACATTTGCTCTCTCTCTCTCTCTCTCT